ATGTGATTATATGTATATCCTTAGTCTTTATCTAGTTTCAGTATTCGGGCTTAAGTTGGCCAGTTCTTCTAAAACTCATCACTGCATCTTGTTTGAACCCTCTCATTTTTTATTTTTTTTTTCCTCTACATCTACCTGTAGACTGTAAACTCTTCTTAATGTATCAAGAAGCTCCACGTGTCAGTGGTTTGGAGGGGGTGTTATGTGGTGGTTGTTGGATTTTTTTTTTTTTTTTTTTTTTTTTGCCTCCTTATGCAAGGACGGCAAAAGTGAATATATCGAAAAGATTTAGATACCAGGCTGTGGGATTTATTTTATTTTTGGTAAATTGAAGTATTTCAGTCCAGTGGAATGTTGACATTCTTGTTTAGCTCCCTGAGAACCTGTTACTTTGCATGCTGAAAACTCCTCTCACACAGGCTGTGGTGTATGGTTTGTCTGTCTTCTAATTTCACTTACGATCAACAAATCAGACATTGTCCACCCCTGTGGCATACAAACATGTCCATCCCTGCCAGGCATGATTTGAGTTCGTGTGCCAAACATACTGTTTTTAAACGTGCTGTTTTAATTCAGAAAGTTAGATGAGCAATGTTGCTTTGTGTTCAAGTGATGGTGAAAAGAGCACTTGTGGAGACCAGAGATAATGTCCCTTTTGGTAGAGTGCCAAACCTTTTAGGTGATATAGAATATATATTTTATTGTGGTAGGATATTCCTCACTGATTCCAGGCCACAATGAGCTGTAGTGCTGGTGGAAAAAATGCTGAAGTCATTCAGACCGAAGTACTGTGTGAGAAGATGTCACTCTCCTGAGTTCTGGTTCTGCTTGTCTGGACTGCTTGTAACACATTTAGATAGAATTTGTTTATAAATGTGCATATGCAAAGATAGAGAAGTAAATGTAATGACACAAAAGATCACACTAGTACTGTTGATCCAGTTAAGTGGCATTTCTCGTTTCTTTGCTTCACTTCACTGCTTCTACCCAGAGTTGACTGGTGGGCAGTTACGTAGATTAACCATCAGTATGTGCTACTATTTGGATATGCAACAGAAGATCATTCTTTTCTGCATAACAGTAAGATTATTTTATTGTTAATACATGTGAAGCCAAGTAGTATTTGGCTTGCTTTCTGTAGCTGGGTGGTGCAGAAGTTGCATTACACATGGCTTCATCATATATGACCTTTTTGAAGAGAGTATTCTTTCTGTTCTGTAAATAGTCTTGTTGCTGTGCATGTGTTGTGAACCTCAGCTGATGTGTGTCCTGTTGAACCTTGCAGTTTCTATCTAAGGCTCTCTATCTTTGATGGTTTTGAGATCAGGCCTTTTGATAGTTTATCAAGGACATTTTACCATACACCAAATGTATGTGTAGATCCTGTACCCAGTGGAATTGGCTATTTACCAGTATGCCTGAGGGAAATAATCTTCAATAAGGGGTAATTCTATCTCGGATTGGTTGCTGTCCTCAAAGTATGATACACCTATACACTCCTTTGTTGTGACTTAACTTTAACTAAACTGCTTTTACTCAATAGCAAACCAAAATGACCTTTTCCTCCATGTCCCAGACTACAAACTAAGTTAGTACAGAAGATGTAATTTCAAAACGTTAGTTGTCTACAACTATACAAACACATTTATAAACAAAGCAATGGTGATAATTCTGCTTTTCTAAGTGTAGGTGCTACCGATAACTCTGGACTTTTGAAGTATCCTAATTAACTCTTTAATCTCTTAATGGTTTAGTATAGTTTTGACTAGAAAACAGGATGTCAGTGTACATAAAACATTGTTAAGCTGTTTAATTTCATGCATCTACTTTCTACATGAAAACCAGACTAGAGTGATAATTATACATAGCTCCTATGTTCTCAAAACCAATAATTTTATTATTCTGGAGTAGCTCATGCACTATATGTACAGTATAGCATATTAGTCCTCTAATCCATTGCAGAGTAGTATTCTGTAAGCTTATATCATGTTTTATAACAGTAACTGAATATTGGAGGAATATTACTTAAGCGAGATTTATTTACTTGCAGGCCTAAATTTAAGGCAACCTGCTCACTTGAGCAGAGTTATGTTTTGTGAGCTGATACATCCAGGCCTAAAAATAAAAATATGTTCCTGTGTTAGTAAAGCACTCCAACCTCTACCTAATGGTTGTCTAGTTATTTTTTTTCCCCTTAATTAGGAATGTGTGTGTTTTTTATGGCCTGGGAAGAATAAAAATATGCTACTGTTCTGGAGTCACAGCGCTTCTCTAATTTTAATGCTATTAAAGACCAGGAAAATGGCAACTGGTTTTACTTTGTACAGTCTTGCCAGAAGAGAAGGACTTGGTGAGGGGGAGGGGAAAAAAAGGTCACTCCAGTTCTTGTATTTTGACCAGCTCCACTGACTGAGAAGTATTATAACTTATATAAAGTGTAAGTATATATAAAATTCACAGATTAAGTCTTTTGACATGTTTTAGTGCAAGTAATCTGCTTAGAATGAAAATCTTCTTTGTTCTGTGCTTTGAGGTAGAAGTTGGGGACTTATCTGAAACTTACATACATTCCACTAAACAGACACATAAAGCCCAACATCACTTCCACTTGGGAACAGATGTTGTTTCCTTTAATATTAGCGTGGTAGAAAGATCTGGATATTAGGTTGTAGTTTAAATGGGGTTTCTCCTGCTTTATAAAGAAATCTCGAAATGCAGTGTCACCAGTGTTGATAGGTGAGTGCTGGTTAAGCAGGTCTGCTTCCCTATAGAACTTACTTTTGAACCAGACCCCATAACATTATATGAAAGAGGTCTTATGCTGGTAATTTTAGACTACTGTACTGTAGGTAGACAGTAAGATGAAGAGTTAGGAGGCTCATATCTGTATATTGAGTATCTTATACCATTATGGTGTCTTTTATTGGTTGAATTATAGTCTTTTTTTCACTAGTTAGTAAGATTTTACCTGGGTCAATGAGATGTTCTGATATATTAAATGGGGAGCTTACTATCCTGTATCACAGTAAATTCCATTGCTGAATTTCATAGCTTAATTGCAAAGCAGAACAGTGTCTTGACCTATCCCATTAATTATTATCTTTTTCAAAGAATAAAACCTGAATCTGAAAAATACTGCCTTGATTCCATGCATGATGATGGTGTCTTGTACAGGGCAGTTGCAGACCATCCAGCATCTGTTCCTAAGTGGAAGTGGTTGTGCTTCCTGTCTTTAGTGGAATGTACGTGAGTTTTGACATGAGTCTCCAACTTCTACCTTGAAGCGTACAATGAAGATTTTCGTTCTAAGCAGATTACTCTGTCTCTTACCATGTTAGAGCAGTTTCACAGTGGTATCTGTACATTGCTTCAGGCTTAGTGATGTAAGTGATGCGTGTGAAAAAGGAATAAATGTTTATGTTCTTTGCTACCACGCTGCAGACCATATGTTAATGTTTTCTCCTGCAGTTTTGATTACTTAAGGGTAAAAGTATTATACCAACAACTTGCTAAACATGAAGTTGTGAGCTCTGGCAAACAACAGAAGTTAACGCCCGTGCTGTCTTTGTAGCTATTTAGCAGAATGAGAAGAACAAGTCATAAAACCCACCTCTGTAGCAGTGTGTGGGGCAAAAATCTGATCTAGCTGTGCAGCAGGAGAACACCAATGAAAAGACTAGCATGCAGATCTTCAGTCTCCTTATGGGATTGAAGTATTTTCACTTTGTTGTTTTCATTTATTAGAAATCCTTATCTGGATGGGATGGGACATGGAATGGGATTGTTGCAAAAGTGCAGTGGTGACCAGCTCCAATTTTTGTTTATTTAATTTTATTTTGAAGGTAGAACTTATTCTATGTCACCAAGTACTGAATGTTTCCTCACACTTCACTTGCTTTTTATTTTTAACTTCACAGCCACTTATCAGATGCGTCTTCCTCGGTTTCTTGACAGTATTCAGAGTAGAGCTACCATGGGATAATATTTGATTTATAGAAATTGTTCCGCAGTCCTGAGGGAGAAGCCAGAGAAGATGTCATAAGTAATGATACTTAACTATTACTGACTTGGTGAAGACGAAGCAAGAGTTTCCAAATCTGATTCATTTGGAAATAGCACTGACAGCTGCTGTAGCTGCTGACGAGCCTTGTACATGAGGCAGTGAGGGGAGTCTAAGAGTTTGCATAGCCAAGTATGTGACTTCTTGTTCTTCTCATGTCTTTGCTAAGTCTGTTGTAGCCTTTTCATAAAAACTAGAAATGGGATCACTGCAATGCTGGCTTATCAGCTGCCACAGTTCTTTGGTGCTGCTCTTTTGGTTTGTGCAAGATCTGAACATTCTAGAACTTCCTGTGTTAGTAAATGTGCAGTGAATAGTCAAAGAGTTGGTTCAGGAACTCTTGTTTTACACAACAGTGACTAATCTATAGATTTTTGAATGTTACTACTAATAAATGCTAATGTCACTTTCTGCTCATAACTTTGTGTTCTGCTTGCCATGTAGGCATTGCTTGAGAGTCAACAGTCTCAGTTGTTTGAGTGCTGCACGTGGCAGATAGTTTTGAACTGCTGAGGACCTCTTTCTGTTGAGTTAAAAATCTCTGGACAGACTTCTTAGTGGTGTTCTCACAGCCATTTTGAGGAGACATAAGTCTTATAGCTGAATTATGAGCAGGTTTTCTAGTATATTTAGCTATAAAATATAATCAAACACAACTTGCTTCAAGCTCTGCTTGGTTTATGTTCTTCTGGTATTATTCTATCTTAAGGGTTAGACTACAGATTGTTTTGACTCTCACTGTATTCCCAGCTTAACCTGTTCACTGTAATCCAACAATTTGCCAAGAAACATCAAGTTCCATGGTTCGACACTGCTTAACTTGCATCTTACTTTGGGTAACAGTAGCTATAACTGAGACTTGCTTTTTTATTTGGGGTTTGTTTTTTTTTTCTTTTTCCTGCACAATTATGACATGACTGGTTTCCTGTTTGATTTACAGCACTTAAATATCAAGACACTGACAGATGATGTGGTAAGACAAGTTTTTCTTTGGCTATGCTAAGCTAATAACCTTATTGCTAATGCAATAGAAATAACCTTATGGATACAAGAAGCTCTTAATTGTGGAGTTAATTTAGTTAATTGGCAAAGTCTCACTAAAATGTAACTATCTGTAGCATACTTGGTGCAAGCAGCAAAAATCTGTGGATGGCTTTAAAGTATGCTGTAATCATAACTAAATGAGCTTGACAGGTAATTGTGCCAATTTACATGCAGTATAGTTAAGATATTTGTGATTGCATGTTTAATAATAAAGTTATTTAGGCTGCATGGCTAATTTAAAATACCATGTTTAACAAACTAACAGTTGATTCTAAAACTCATTAATGCTTGTTTCAAACTGCGTTAGGCATATTCAATGTCATGTTAGCACTGTTTCTCAAACTTCATCTGTCTGAACAGCAGATGGGGTTCTGTATTACAAAGCAAGTTTTTTTTTTTTCTTGCTTCTGAAGTTACCTATTTCACTGTATATTCTTTTGTTGTTAAGAATAGCTTTCCTTAAAGTGGATCATTTACGGTCTTTGATTTTATCTAGGAAGTAATGTTCTGTAGGTAGCTAAAGATCACCTGTTATGATTTCAGTGCTATACAGAGTTCTTGCTGAAGTACTTCTGTGCATGACTGAGAACTTGTGTAGAGAGTTTTATGCTGAACAATGTGCAGCGTGCTTCCTAGCTGAGGAACCAGTACTGCTGATTAGGTGTGCAAAGGTGGTTGTGTTGAGCATGTTGCCTCCACCTATTATTCCTAGATTAGCTTAAATCACCTGTTGCCATTTCTTTAGCAGAGTTCCATGTGTGGGAAATTGTTATTAAGAAATTTGAGTCTGATGGGTTGATAATGAAATTTTGATTCTCTAAATTTGTGCTTTTTCTCGAAATGCTGAGGAAATGTTCACAGTTCTTTCAAAGCAAAGTATTTTGTGGTAACCAAAACTTAATTTTGGTCATGTCCTGGAAGGGTTAAAGCCTGGATGCGCAAGATCTTGCTGTTTGTTTCTGTGGATTTTTATTTTTTAAACAGGCTAGCTTGATCCCTTATTACACTTAGCCTATTGGACTTTTCTAACTTGTAATAATAGCCACTAGAAGTCAGGAGATTTGTTTTGCATGTTGCAATAAGGACAAAGAGCCTGATAGCTTTGTTGTAAGCAATCTCCTACCCAACTCCTTAAATTTCTTGGAGCATACTTAAGGCCCCTTCACAGACTAAAGAAAGTCACCTGAAAAATAGATACTAGGTGTCTGTACATGTCTGTACAAGTGATGGTACATATGTATGTATTTTAAAGGGAAATGACAGCTGTTTAATAAAAGGCTAACAGTAAAAGCAAACGACCCAATCCTTATATATTGCAGTGGCAGACGCTTCTAAAGATGTGTATTTTGTTCACTTTCAACTTCATCTTGGAACAAGGGTATGCTTTCCAGTTGACGTTTTTCGTCCCTCTGAGTTTTCTGTTGGTTTAGTCTTTCTGTGCCTGATCCTGTGAAACAGCTAATAACACTAGGTGTCTGAGTCCTAGGCAGCTTAAATGTGGCTCAGAGCAGAGAAGTTTTGGCATTTCACACCAAGCATAAAAATTGCTAAAGATGTTTTCTCAAAATTCCTTTTGTGCCATGGGGGGAAACTGTAGTAAGAGAAAGTTAAAACCCTGAAGTTTTAAGATTACTTGATTTTTGTAGCTTTCAATGAAATAATAGATTTCTTTCTTCTCGGGGACACTCATTTGCATGTTAATTTGCTCTATAAAATATTACTCGCAGCCTGTTTCTTACAAATACAGTGTTGTATCATGGTCACTAGGAACTTTTTTACATTCAGTTAATTTAGCAACACTTGTTAGTCTAAAATGCAGACTGCTTTCAGTATTTCAATTGTATTGGATTATTCCTGAGACACTGTTGCATTGTCTACTTTTAGTGACAAATCTCCATAAAGTTCAGAAACACCTTGCTTTTTTACACATTTGACACATTTCTTTTACATTTTTTCTTTACAAACTGTGAAGACAGGGGTCTTAATCTTATTCCACAGAAGAGTGGCAAATAGGTACATGAGAGCTCATCTACCTGCCAGATCGCTGTGGGAGCAAGCCTTTTTTCTTTTATCTTGAGTGCTTCACATTTCGACAGATGGTTTGTAAGGTTCATAAAAATCAAAAACCTGCATATGAACATAATTTTATTAAAAATCTCTTATGTAGACAAAAATGAAATGCTTGCTAAAAGTCCTTACAGCTTGAAAGTTATAAAGTTGACTGATTTCATAGTAACTGCTGTGATGATAAGAAAGGCTGTATAAGTTCCAGTATATAGAGAAACCAGTTCAGAGTAGAATATATTCTAGACATTTAAGATGTGACTGCATAGGCCTAAACTCTGTGACTTTTAATTTTCTACCATTTGTAAAATTATTTGATCTCAAGAAAGGTAAAATAATCTCTGGGAGACTGAGCATATTAGGAATAAGAAGTCATATAAAAGGGATTTTCTCTGTATCTTGGTTTATGCAATATACAAGGCCTACAAGGATGCTGGAGAGGGACTTTTCATCAGCAGCTGTAGCTGTAAGACGAGAGGTAAACAGGGGAAGTTTAGGTTAGGTGTAATGATGAGGTTCTTCACTGTGAGGGTGCTGAGGCCCTGGAACAGGTTGCCCAAATGCTCCATCCCTGGCAGTGTTCAAGGCCAGGTTGGACAGAGCCTTGGGTGACGTGACCTAGTGTGAGGTGTCCCTGCTCATGGCAGAGGGGTTAAAACTAGGTGATGTTAAGGTCCTTTCCAATCCTAATCATTCTATGATTCTATTTTATGTCTTTGTCTTATGAAAAGCTTTACTGCCACTAGTGGAATTTATCACATAGTAAGAAGTTAATTTTATAGAGCAATTCGGCTGTCAAAGAAAGAATATACATTTTTAATCTTCTTTAAGCCCATTTGGACTCAATGATTTTAAGGATATCTTTTCTAACCTAAAAGACACTATGGATTATTCTAGTATTTTAAGTAGCAAAAATTGTTCATGTGCTAAGAATATCTTATGTTACTGGCAATGTAGCTGTGAACATGTGAGCTGTGGTGGGTAAAATAAATCCTTTGTTCTGTTGGGGGAGGAAAATGTAAGGAGGAAAATGCATCCTGTTACCCAACAGAGGCGAAGCTGCTGCAGCTCAATGACCCACAGATCCAGTCAGTATTGAGGCTGGAGCTATGTTCTACCTGTGTCAGTTGCTTTCTTTCAAGTAGTTTCTTTAATGTGTCTCTGTTTAAAAAATATGCATTATAAATTAAATCCTTATGGGATTTCAATATTGCCGTGATGATACCATTTTGCAAATAAGCCAGCATATTTTCTTGTACTACTAGTCATAAAAAAGCACAGGTCAGATCATTTTTGCACTGTATGCATGATTTATGTTTAAAGATATGTGGGATCTTCATGATTCATTCAGATATCTTGACTGCCAAGTGATTAGTGAGATAACTTTTCCCTGTGCAGATGCTGTCAACACCGTGACTGTGTGTATTCAGGAACTTGCTTGCCCCTCATACACTGTTGGAGATTACTGGTAGGGTTTGGTTGCTGTACTTTTCTGAAGCTAGTTTCACATAGCTGTGTGATGGATGAAGCAGAGCAGTAGAGGAAACATTGCTGTAAGACAGTTTTAAACTCTATTACAGTGCAAGGGGGCCATAACAATAGTTTTGCCAAGGCTTCCAGAGAATCTTAAGGGTGGTAAATGTAAATGCTACTGGAAAGCAGTCTCATGGTAACTCATGGTTACATGTTGACCATGGTTTATTTTTCACTGTGTTTGAGTTATGATGTTAAGATTTCGTTTCAGCTGCCTTGCCATTTTTGTGTCATGGAGAATGTGAACTGACAGAATAAAGTACACAGCTTTATAGATGTTTCAGCCTCTGGCAGTAGGAGGCATAAAGACAAAAAAGCTAAAATATATGCAAACAACTCACTGCTTTAAGTTTATGAGAAAAGACGTCTCATGCCTTTCATGCTGCGGGATCTAGTCTTAGGAGCGAAAACTGTGCAGGCTGTATCTTTAATAACTTCTTTGCTGTCCTAATTAATTTTTGTTTATCTTTTCCCTCCTCTTACTCTTCCCTCCCACTTAAAAAAAAAATCAGGCCAAACCTACCTTTTGACCAAAAAAACCCTTACGATTGTCTCTGTTAGTTGTTGCTAACAAAATAGTGGTATATCAGTGTTATTTCTAGAATTACGCTTACCTTTGGATAAGAAACTTCTTCCTATCATTCCTTTCCAGAGTTAACTTCTTTTCAGTTACTTTGACTTCTCTTTTCAATATCACATACTTTTAAGCATAAGACCACTATGCAGCCTATATTGCGCTTACATAGGCAGTTAATGTGGGTTTTTTTTTTCAATTTCAACACAGATAGTTTTTAATGAATATTACAGAAGCATTTTTGTACTCTGTATTTAATTATTTTGTTTCTTTTTAGATTATGTATCTGAAATAGTTTTTCTCATCTTCAGTACCTGTGCTGTAATGGTAGGGGTAGATTTCTTTGAATTTGTGAGCTGGTTAGAGATTCCTTGTTATGTTTTTGTATAGTGGATTAAAAGAATTCTTGCTTTCTCTTCTGAGTGCCCAGAAGTACGTAATTGCACTGTTATTTCCTTCTCATTCCTTTATTGCCTTTGAAATCTTAACTCTCTACAATCTACTCTGCCTTCCATCAGTACATCAAACCAGATATTAATTTGGGGAATTTCAAAGTGATTTTACTATGAAAATACTTTATATCAAGAGCATATGAAACACTGATTATTGTTTGGTTAATTATAATGTTGGCCCAACAAACTTTCTGAGGGGAAAGTTTGTCCCTTTCAGAAAATTATTGTCCTAAAGCACTGTTCCTGTATGGGTCTATATGTATTTATTGGTAAAGTAAATACCAATTTATTGGTAAAATAAGTACCAAAAAAATGGTAGACATCTTTAGAGAAGATGGAAGCTGAAACCTGCTTTAAACTGTCGTGACACTTTGTATCAAAGCTAACTTTATATATTCCCCATTGGAAAACCATGACAGCCTGATTTAAAATGTTTTGGTGTAGCATGGAAGATTACTGAACTATATTTTTGCCATTTTCTCCTCAATGCACTTAGATCGCCAGCAGTGATCAATGGTAGATTTCATTACAACCAAGCAATGAAATTTCCATTCTTTCTCTATAGTGGTTTCTGTGGACCATGAAATTATTCGCCTGTATGGCATATCGAGAGGTGTTAGCTTTTTTTGAAGCACTATCAATGTATAATTCAGCAGAAGTGTTTGTAGAATAACACTGTGTTTCTGTGAGAGTTTCTGTGAGAGTTTCTGTGAGAGTTTCTGTGAGAGTTTCTGTGAGAGTTTCTGTGAGAGTTTCTGTGAGTTTCTATTTCTTTTGTGAATTTCAGTTTTTTTTTGTGTATGAAAACCTTACTCTTAGGCTGCATTGTTTCAAATTATTTAAAGTAATTTGTTTGACACATGTTTATATGTGCTTATAATCCTAGTATCTCACTTCGTCTTGCATGTTCTGCCTGATCAAATATATTCTAAGAGTGTGCTTCCCTCCTTTAGGATATGTGGTATAGAATTTGGTGAATGTGGGGAATATGAATGTTATGTCCTTACCTGTAGTGTTGCGAAACATCTGGCATACAGTCTAATGTTCAAGAGGAGCTTAAAAACAAAGCACAATCTAAGAATGTGAACAAATTTAAATATATCTTTTCAAGGATGGATGTTCTCTCATCCCTGGATTGGTGCTGCCTGTTACTAGTGAAGCAAGAGCAGCTCTGGGACTGCAGGGAGGATTTCATGGCAGAGACTGGGGTGGTTCTGCCTGCCCACAGCTGATATTGCTGCTGCTGTGTGGTGCAGGGCAAGGAAGAGAGGATACTTCAGCATCATGTACTGTAAAGAAGGGGCCAAGATTTTTCAGGAGAGATGGGATAAGGAGTGTACAGCACACACTTCTCTTAAACCTAATTTAGTAAATTCTCTGCTGACTGAACGATGGGCTGAATGTTGTGTTTTCTTGGTTGTTTTTTTTTTTTCTTTACCAGAGTGTCTTCCTTCTACCCCTGCTTCAGTTCTATGTATGAAGAATCTTCAAACATAATGGTTTATTTCTTAGGTTACGCCCTTGACAGTGAATAGTGGGGCATGGAGAAGCTACTGGCTAATTCTTTGGAGTAGACTTGCTGCCTTTTGTTGGTGCTCAGTGAAAGACATTGTTTGAGAAGAAAAATCTCAAATTGTATGTTTTTTTTTTTTTAAGATTCTAGTCTCAATATTGCAGTTTGCAACCTGGCTTTATGCCCCCATGTTTACCAGAGACTTCTGCTTTTAAAGGCAGGAAGGAAAATTGCTGTCTGATTGAGATGTAAGATGATTTGTGTCACTGATTCTACTTCTCTTCCAGTGATGTTACTCCCCCTTTTGCTTTTGCTGCATTCTTTCTTCCTGGGACTTTCCTATGTAATTATTCCTTTAGAGTGTGCTCTTCTCACTGCCTGCTGGTTTGATATGACGCTAAAGAGCCCCATCATCCATGCTGAGTTCTTTTATGTTTATGCTATATTCATTTTCTGCTTTTGCATGTTCTACAACCATCTGTATGTGAGTGGCTTGTACTCTATTTCTGTGTTCCAAAACCTGTTCTTTCACAATTTTGAGCAGGAAGAATTAAAAGTCTTTTTGTTTTTTCTCTAAGCCTCTCTTCATGGATGTCTAATAGTCAATTCTTGCTCTGACTAGAGTGGAACACTTGTACCCAGTTTTTGCTACTAATTTTCTTTGCTCTCTCTAATCTTAATTTCACAGATGCTATAATAACTTGTCATTTAGCTTGGTAACTTGGATGTAGTTATTAAGTGATATCTCAAGATACTTATATTCAAGATATATTGAAGTCTCAGAATATTTTTGCATAGCATTTCAAAGATTTAGGTCTGTTGATGGGGTTGGAATCTTGTCCAAAACCTCTTATGCATCAAATGCTACCATAACTTCCTTCTGTACTGACAAGTGTAATACTGGTGTTCACATCTGTTCAGAAGGCTGCTACAGAGATGATTAAGATTTAGCACATCTCATTGAGCATGTCATCTGCTTTTGTATTCCGTTGGCTCTTGGCCCTATACGTTTAAACTCGCAACCTCTAAAAATGAAAATGTCTGAAATTTCACTTAGTAAGCCTTTATTGAAAAGGTGATATATACCTAATAAGTAAAAAAAAAAAAAAAACAAACCACAACAAAAAACTCCCCACAATCCAAACCACTTGTCCAAAGAATTTGTTTTTGTTTGCTCTTGAAAGGGTAAAGTTCAAGTGACTGTCTCATGTTGGTGATAAGACCTAAGGATTATCCATGAAACCATGAGTGTGTCCTGCTTAACTTTAATAAATGAGCTGATGGTATTTATGCTTCTCTTAAATGAATTTCTAAATAACTGGAGCATAAAAAGGCACTAAGTTTTGGGTAGCATAACACAAATAAAAAAACAGAGCAATGTCTTAGTTATTCTAACTTGTCTTTTAATAAGAAGTAACTTCTGTATGTACTGTATAAAAATGCAAATATGTATATTCTGTTACAGTGTGAGGAGTACAGCTGTTTCAGGGTAGCAAAAAATATTTTAGAACTATGCTTTTGATAAATAAGCCTGCTTTTTCATATGTTACATGTAATGGTTAGGAAGAACTCTTCATAAATTGGTTTTGTAGATATCTTTGCCTCCAAACTTTCCGTAAAATTCTCATGTTCTGCATGATTTCTCCATAATGCAATGGAATTCTGGTCTGTTAACTTGATCCCTAAGGCAACTGACTGTTACATGTATATTTAGGAAAACCCTCTAGAATTAGGCAGTTAAATAATAAGGAAGTTACCACAGAAAAATAAGGATGTTTAGTTTTCAGGAATGCTCATCTTAATTAGGGTTATGTAGAATGGAAACAGTATGTGATGTTACACCTTTTCTGTTTTCAGTTGGATAGGTTTGCCAGTATAAGAATTCCAGGAAGTAAAAAGGAACGACCTCCTCTGCCGCATATGAAGCATTCTCATTCTACAGATTGGTCATCCACACCTATGGACACAGAAGATTTTGCTCCAAAGACCCTGTCAGAAAGAGAAATTATAGTGCTGTTTGAAAAAATGATGGTAAGGGTCTTGCGTTATTTTCCTTTACTTGAAGAATAACAATGTGGCTAACTGACAGGAGGGGGCCTTCTTTTGTGCATATGTTCTGATCTTCACCTGAGTTATTAGTACTGTTACTGTAAGTGTGTGTTTTTTTAATGGTGTTTCTCAGGGGCTTAACTCTGCATTATTTTGATAAGATCTTTCTCTAAATATATTTAAAATGGAAACAAGAGGTTTCTGGTTATTAGATTATGCAACAGATTTTGAGGAAAACAAGAAATGGAGAATCCTGCTTCCTTTCAAGATGACCTGAAACTTTTACAAAGAGATTTTATACCTCTGAATGTCACAGCAGGGTTTTGTTCTGAAATTACGTTCTCTGTCATTCTTGCACAAAAAAAGACTCAAGGTTTTTGCCTCCAAAGCAGCATTTGTCGGCATATGAGTCTCAAATTTGCTGCATTCCTCAGTTGTCATTGTTATTGTGCAACAAAAGAGCAGTCATTTGGTGGAAAGGTTATGTGACATTGGTACCACCTCTTGGTGGTACCAATAGGTTGAGGCTTTTTGTCATGGTGATGATGACATTTTGAGCAATTTAAAACTAAACATGGAATGGCCATGAGAGAAGAAAGTGACTGCAATCTCAAGAGCATAAGAGGACATTAACAAGGAGAGTGATGTCTAGATTATTATTTCTTTCTCTGTCCTGTAACAAGTAACTATTGAAAAACAAAGGGACTGCCAGGAGCTGGGATGTGGAAGAAATCAAATGTGCTATGAGGGAAATACCTTGATGGAATTTCTGATTCCCAGTACTCAGTTTAGTCATGAAGATGCTTTTGTAGAACTGCGGAGAGCTATAACTGAAAGAGAGAATTCAGGATTTTCGTTTTCAGGTTAAACTGATGGAGAGGACAACTTTACCGTGTTATCAACTTTTCTAAATGTACTTGTTCTTACATGGTTGATTTTCTTGGTGTACATCCGTGTCTAAGCTACTTCACTACTTTTAAAAAATTTCACTATGAATGGTAGTTGCTCAAATGTTAGGAAATGGGAGAAGTTTTTCCTTAAATAAGCTTCAAGGTATGCCTCCCTGTGCACATCCCCTGCTACATAAATGTAGGATGTATTTCTCTACCATTCCACAGGGACTCTGGTGTAGGATAGTGTGTGATGTTGAAACTATGCCATAAAAAATGCAAACTTCCAGTAAATCCTCAGAAACCTACTGCTGTGTGTGTAGGTAAAAAGAAGTGCTTATATCCAGGCTTATTTCCATGGATCCTGAAGCAATTAATTCCAATTTTATAACTACTATGCAAAAACATGTTACTGATGACATCAGGATAATTTCAATGCTTTCCTAGTCTCACTGAATAACAAAGCACTTAAACTACTTTATTAGTGTTATTTTAGCTATAACATAATGCAGAAGGGATTCTTCAGTTTATCCACACTTGAATGGAGTGAAATAAAGCTAGTTTAATCACAGTAGATTATATAGCTAATTATATATTCAGTCAGCTGATCGGAGCTAGCCTAGCTAGAGCCACAGCCGGCACGCTTCAGCGACGCGAGGGTCAACGGAGATTAGGAAAATCAGAGGGGATAGCGCAGAGACATCACGATTCCCGACATCTCCCGATCCCCGAAGCCCCAGCAGCCCTTGCGAGAGAGAGAGGCTGACGTGGCGGGGGGGCGTTTCCACGGTGACGGCGACCACTCCCCTGCTGCTTGCCTTGAAAAAGCCTTTGAGAGGGGAGCGACAGGTCGCTGCCCACCGGGCACAGGGAGGAACAAGCCGGTCGTGTTGCTGGTGTCCCAGACTGCGCACCAATATGGTTGCCTCCAGAAAGAGAGCTTGCAGTAAGGTGACTACAGCAACTCAGACAGAGACCCCGTCCCAGACCGTGGCTGTTCAGGTCTCTGGGTGCAGGGAGTGCCAGAGCCTGCTGCTGCCGGGGGAGGGAGGACAGCATTCCACCTGTGTGAGGTGTGAGCAGGTAGAAGATCTGCTTAGCCTGGTGGCAAGACTTAAGGAGGAGGTTGAGACGCTGAGGACCATCAGGGAGTGTGAAAGGGAGATCGACTGGTGGAGTAACTCCCTGGCGGGCCAGTCGAAACGGTTCCAGGGAGATACCCCCCAAAAGGGGAAGGACCCCCTGCCTTCTCACACAGAGGGGGATGGCCCGAGGCAGCCCCTGCCCTGTAGCTGTTGCGCAGAGGTAGGGGACCAAAAAGACGACGAGGGTTGGAAGCGAGTTCCAGTTCGACGTCGTGGGAAACCCTCCCCCCTTCCTGCCCTGCTTCCCCAGGTGTCCCTCTGTAATAGGTTCGAGGCCCTGGATGTTGAAGGAGAGGTAGGTGTCGTGGTGTAAACCCAGTCAGGTAACTTGTAACAGTCTTCCAGAGCAGGAGAGACTGTGTGCAGTGTTCACACTCGTGAGGGAAGTGCTGCGTGGTCTCCTGCATCCTCCCGGGGCTCGGCAGGTGGCTGCCGGGGAATGCTCTCGGCCGTCGCGGGGCTCGGCTCCTCTGCGGGGCTCGGCTCTTCCGCGGGGCTCGACTCCTCTGCCGCCTTCTCCCGCTGCTTGGCAGCCGCCTCCTTCTGCTCCTCGACCGCCCCGACCTCCTCCACCGGCAGCCGTCCCCTGGCGGCCTCCGGCCCCGGGAGGATGCAGGAGACCACGCAGCACTTCCCAGCTACCAAGGAGGAGAAACATGACTTTTAGTATATGTGCTGCCGAAGCGAGCACATATACTAAAATTGGAACGATACAGAGAAGATTAGCATGGCCCCTGCGCAAGGATGACACGCAAATTCGTGAAGCGTTCCATATTTTAGTATATGTGCTCGCTTCGGCAGCACATATACTAAAAAAGCCTACAGCACCCGGGATTCCCAGGCGGTCTCCCATCCAAGTACTAACCGAGCCCGACCCTGCTTAGCTTCCGAGATCAGACTAGATCGGAGGTCGGGGCGGTCGAGGAGCAGAAGGAGGCGGCTGCCGGGGAATGCTCTCGGCCGTCGCGGGGCTCGGCTCCTCCGCTGCGCTCTCGCTCTTTTTTAGTATATGTGGGGCATGAGAATGTGGGGCAAGGCCAGCCCACAAGGCCACATAGGAAAAGGGAGTCGACTTTGCACCTCAAGACTGCCTCTGTTAAGAAAGAAAGAAGGGTCATTGTAGTAGGGGATTCCCTTCTGAGAGGAACAGAGGGCCCGATATGCAGAGTTGACCCTCATCATAGGGAAGTGTGTAGTCTGCCTGGAGCCCGGATCAGGGATATCACCAGGGTGCTCCCCAACCTGGTGCACCCAACAGACTATTACCCGCTACTGGTCTTCCAGACAGGTGGGGAGGAAGCTGCTTCCCGCAGTCTGAGGGGGATGAAGAAAGACTACAGGGCCTTGGGGCGGATGGTGAAAGAGTCTGGGGCTCAAGTGATCTTCTCCTCTCTCCTTCCATCTTCCACTGATGTGGGAAGGAATGGGAAGATTCAGTTCATGAACAATTGGCTTCGAGACTGGTGCTACAGGCAGGGCTTTGGATTCTTTGATAACGGCTGGTTTTATAGGGCACCAGTCTGGACAATGACAAGTGAGAAAGGTTTATCTCACAGAGGGAAAAGGATGCTGGGGCACGAATTAGCAGGGCTCATTTGGAGAGCTTTAAACTAGATTCGAAGGGGGATGGGGTTGTAGCTGGGCTTGCCCCAGTGGGGCAGCGCTCCAGAATTAATGAAGACTGGGAGGCCCCCTACAATCCTAGGGTGAAATCGGTGTGCTCAGCTCGCTCCCTGAAATGCCTGTACACCAATGCGCGCAGCATGGGAAATAAGCAGGAGGAGTTGGAAACCTGTGTTAAGTCGGGAGATTATGATCTGGTGGCAATTACAGAGACGTGGTGGGACAGCTCACATGACTGGAATATAGTCATGGAAGGCTATGTCCTTTTCAGGAAAGACAGGCCAGCCAGGCGGGGTGGTGGGGTTGCTCTTTATGTGCGGGAGGAACTACAATGCACCGAGTTCTGTCCAGGGACAGATGATGAGCGAGTTGAGAGTCTGTGGGTGAGAATTAAGGGGCAGGCTGGCAGGGGGGATACTGTTGTAGGTGTCTGTTACAGACCACCAGATCAGGGTGAGGAAGTTGATGAGGCCTTCTACAGGCAGCTGAGAGCGGCCTCACAGTCACAGGCTGTGGTCGTCGTGGGGGATTTTAACTTCCCTGATGTTTGCTGGAAGGACCACTCAGCAACCCAGCCGCAGTCCAGGAGGTTCCTCCTGTGTATGGATGATAACTTCCTCCTGCAAATGGTGGATGAGCCGACCAGGAGAGGAGTGCTGCTGGATCTCATCCTCACTAACAAGGAGGATCTGGTTGAAGCAGTAAGGGTTGAGGGCTGCCTTGGTTGCAGCGACCACGAGATGGTGGAGTTCAGGATCTTGTGTGGCAGGACTAGTAGAATACCAAGTAGAATTGCAACCCTGGACTTTAGCAGGGCAAACTTTGGCCTTTTCAAGCAATTGCTAGAGGAAATCCCATGGGCAGGGCTGCTTGAAGGTAAAGGGGCCCAAGATAGTTGGTTGACATTCAAGGACTGCTTTTTCCGTGCTCAAGATCGGAGCATCCCGACACGTAGGAAGTCAAGGAAGAGGGCCAAGAGACCTGCGTGGCTAAATAGGGAATTGCTGGGTATGCTCAAGTGGAAGAGGAGAGTTTACAGGTCATGGAAGGAGGGGCTGGCCACTTGGGAGGAATATAAGGCTGCTGCTAGAGGATGTAGGAAGGCAGCTAGGAGGACTAAGGCATCCTTAGAATTAAACCTGGCAAGAAGGGTCAAGGACAGCAAAAAGAGCTTTTTCAAATACATGGCAGACAAAACTAACACCAGAGGCAATGTAGGCCCACTGATGAACGGGATGGGTGCCCTGGTGACAGAAGATAAAGAGATGGCAGAGTTACTGAATGCCTTCTTTGTCTCTGTCTACTCTGCTGCGGGCAGTCCTGA